AGTGGGATAGAAGAAAGATGGGTAGAGAGGGATGGGAGAGAGGATGGGAGGGAGGGTGAGGAGGGAGTGGATCGGTAGAGAGGAGTGGTAGAGGGGGAGGGGAAGTAGGGTAGAGGAGGAGGATGGAGGGAAGATAGAAAGTTGGAAGGGGGTGGAAGAAAAAGGTGTATGGAGAGGGGAAGAGGTATATTGGGTTTGTATTTTTGGGGGGTATTGTTGACAAGAGGAATGGCTGCAATTATTGTTTAATGTTGTATGGCCCCGGCTATGCACAGTATATATGTGAGTGTATGAAAATGAAAAAATGGAAAATAAAACTTTTAAACTGAAAAGAAGAGCCTGGAAAGCCATTGGTCAGAAATTGTATAGGTCTCCAGCATGAGCAGAGGGGTTGGACTAGATGACCTCCAAGATCACTTCCCACTCAGTGACTGTTACTGCCTTTCATAAAACGTGGCTTGCTTTTCTGCCCATCAGGAAAAAACATGTAACCGATAGGCTGACCAATATGTTTAATATACCATGAAGTTACTAAAAAACCTGTGGAACAACAGTATACCTTGGCGTCCGATAGGATATGATGACATGGCTTTACAATCCACACTGTAATCATGGCATCATCCAGAGAGTTGTCTTATGTTCATCTTTGGCCTTATAAATTTATGATAACTCCTTTCTTCATTTCCAAACTTGCAGTTTGAAATTGAGAGCCTTAATTTAAGGAGGCGGAAGTGAGCTTATAGCTGTGCTATGTAATGAAGAGTCTCGCAATGGCCATGCATTCAAGCAATATTTGGCATTTGATTTGGGGGCTAGCTTTGGAACTGTTTGGTCCCCCCCTCCCAAATAAAAGCTTAAAAGTTATAGGCATATCCTGTTTTCCCCGAAAATAAAACCTCCACTGATAATAAGCCCCATTGGGCTTTTGAGCGCATGCGCTAAAATAAACCCTCCCCCCAAAATAAGCCCTCCCCGAAAATATTGCAACGCAGCAGCAGTCATGACGTGACCATGCTCGCTGCCTTCTGCACCTCAAAAATAATAACCACCACCACCACCCCCCAAAAAATAAGGCCAAGTGCTTATTTCAGGAGTCAAAAGAAAATAATTTTCAGGGAAACATGGTAGTATTCTCACATTATACAATGCCTTGCTTGTGGATATGGGTTACATGCCTACTTAATTACTTGTTTATGTTCATATGCTCCTAATGTTCAGGTGAATTCCATATTGATTCTTGGTTATTACTGATCAGTATTCCATATCAGGGAGGTGATATGTTTGGTCTCAACTTGTATAGAACAGGTTTTCTTTGAGTTTAGCTTTATTCCTACTAAGTCACTACTAAGTTACTACATAGCCTCATCCATGTAATTTTGACAATAATACCAAAGAGTTTGCTGCTGGCTTTTTCCAGTAAGTTTTTTTTTAATTTACCAGTTCTTAATTTTTAAGAAACTTATATTTAAGGTCAAACGTCATTCAAATATTAAACTAAATTAACTTGAAGAGTGTAAAACAGATATTTTCCCTCTCTCTTCATTTAGCTGGCCTCTGGACAGTCTTTACCCTAGGAGGTGTGGGAAGCAAGCGGGCTTCTCAACAGGAAGAGTCTTCACCTCTTGCTAATCAAAGTCTGTTGTTGCTGCTCGTCTTAGTAAATCTGACCGATGCTGCAGATACACCCAACCCTTATAAGCAATCCATTGTGTCCTTCAAGAACACACAAGGTAGGTGTCCGTTTAAACGTGTCAATTTCCTGTGGAAATAGCACCTGTCTCCTGATTTTCGTCAATTTGAGTTAAATGATGGCTTGGTTAAAGGAAAGCATCACAAAAAGTAAGAGGGCTGTTCTGACTCCTTCAATGAACGACTCTCTTTTGGTTGGCTGTATGTGAAAAAATTATGATCTGTCTCAGTGGTGAAATTCAATTTTTTTTACTATCAGTTCTGTGGGCGTGGCTTGGTGGGCGTGGCAGGGGAAGGATACTGCAAAATCTCCATTCCCACCCCACTCCAGGGGAAGGATACTGCAAAATCTCCTTTCCCACCCCATTCTGGGGCCAGCCAGAGGTGGCATTTGCTGGTTCTCCGAACTACTTAAAATTTCGGCTACCGGTTTTCCAGAACCTGCTGGATTTCACCCCTAATCTGTCTGCTCTGGAAGAGTTGCACTATCTCTTATAACTGGGCAAGATCTGGATCTCCATCAATGGAGGCTCAACATTGCTTCCATAGCTATGAGTTTCATTTGGCAGCTATGACTGTTTCTCATGTTCCCATGTTCATTTCCCCCATAAATTTCTTTTCCCTTTTAATTTTTTTTCTCTCTGTCTGGATATCAAAATAGGAATTCAGCTCTGCTGGTAGGAAACAGCTGAATAGGGGGCAAGTTTCAGAGGAGCCTCATTTGTTGCTGGAACTCTTCCTCCCACCAACTTTTATTTCTCCTATCAGTGCCCTCCGTGTGCACATTTTAGTGTCGCAACTAAGGGAGTTGAGAATATATCCTTGCGGAGAGATAACACACAGCTCCTCCCTGGCCTGAATCAGCCCATGGGCCTTTCTAGTCACAAGTTGCCTTCTCTAGGTTGGATCAGCTATTCCAGCTAATCAGCATTATCCGTTTCTACTCTTCGATAGCCTTTAACCAGGCATAACAGAAACTGGGCAAGTCCTGCTTCTTGTAAAACGTCACTGGGAGATACACAGTTCTTGGCCGTTTAGAAGGTTATAGGATGAACACAGATTAGACCCTGTATTTTAAATCACTCTTCCATCTGTTGACGTAAAGCAATTTGTAATCATATCAGTCCCTCCTACGAATGCAGAGTCAATAAATGAGAAATGACTCACTAAACCCTACGATGATGGACAGAGTCTCTGGAAAGGGCAAGGCTGAAGCCTCTTGGGCAAGGCCGAAGCCTGCCGGCTTGCGGTTTGAAGGCTACCGAGTCACGCCATGAAGGCTAACTTAATTGGGACCAGATGGGAAGAAAAATAGAAAAACATCAGTCAAACGGGATGGCGTGTTACTGTAACACTATATTTGATGTTGTTTGTTTTCCTTCCAGATAGCACAGCGTTGTCTTCACCAACCCCTCACGCTTTCCAGATCAATTTTAATAGTTTGTACACCACGTTGTGTGAGCAACAGAATTCTGACCATGCTACCCTCCTCTTGTATACTCTTTTGCACCAGAACAGCAATGTTCGAACATACATGTTGTCCCGGACAGATATGGAAAACCTGGTAAATATTTTGTCCTTTCGCGTAACTAATCAAGTACCAAAAATACAACAGGAAGTCTCACTTGTGAAATGTTGGATTCTGAATTGCTGAGAGAACTAGACGCTAGAGAGGAGCTGCTTGTCTGAACATGGGAATGAAGTGATTGTAGATATTCTAACGGTGGCAGCTGATGGGTTTTAGGGTAGGTGGGGATTTTAGAGGATGCTGGGTATGTTCAGTGGTGAAGGAGTTGGGTTATGACTGGGTCGTGGGGGAGGGAAATCAAGACTCTGCTCCCTTCTTAGCCATCAAATCTCATTTGGGGTCTTTAAGCCAACCACCTCATAGGTTAGGATTAGGTTATATGGTTACATGAATGGAGATTGCAGTGTAAAGCAATAGCAATAGCAGTTAGACTTATATACCGCTTCATAGGGCTTTCAGCCCTCTCCAAGCGGTTTACAGAGTCAGCATATTGCCCCCAACAACAATCCGGGTCCTCATTTTACCCACCTCGGAAGGATGGAAGGCTGAGTCAACCCTGAGCCGGTGAGATTTGAACAGCCGAACTGCAGTCAGCTGAAGTAGCCTGCAGTGCTGCATTTAACCACTGCGCCACCTCGGCTCTATAATCACCTTGAAAGAAATAGGGAATGTAAATCTAGCAGATCTCTTTCTAGTCCTGTAACCAGCATCGATTCTGGCTGGGTCAAGGTTGACTCAGCCTTCCGTCCTTCCAAAGTTGGTAAAATGAGGACCCAGATTGTTGGGGGAAAGATGCTGATTGTGTAAACCACTTAGAGAGGGCTGTAAAGCACTGTGAAGAGGTATATAATGTTGTGGAGCTGGTGGCAGACTCAGACAGTGAAGAGATTGGGGAGGAACATGGGCCAGTCCTGTAGTTTGGGGGAAGGCTCTGATGAGGGCTGTTAATCGGAGGCAGAGAGGGGCCCAGGGCCATTCGACAGTTATCATCTGCCTTCGGAGTTGGAGATCAGTGTGGCAAAAGAACAACTGATGTGCGCATGCGCAGAGCTGCCAGGAGAAGGGAACAGTTAAGGAACAAGGGCTGACTCCGGAGTAAAGGCACAGGCAGACGGTATAGCTTTGGAAGATATCAGCCTGGCAGCTCTCCAAGCCTGATAAGATCTGTGGTTGTAAATTCACCCTTGAAAGACTGTTTGCTGGGACTTTGCTGGATGTGAATGAGAGGAATCCACATTAGCTTAATAAAAAGGGGTTTTGTTGGAACCAGAAGTCTGCTTCGTGGTTTTGTGAAGCCTAGGTCAAAATATATAAATCTAAGTGCTATTACTATAAACTATTGCTGTTCACCCAAGCCTGGTACACATAGTCCTCGATTTACAGCCGTACTTGAGCCTGGAATTACACTCCTAAGTCGTAGGGATCATTAAGCAGGTCACTACATTCCCATGACCAATTAGATGATCCTTTTTGCAGTCTTCAAGCGAATGCCAGGGTTAATGTTTTTTGCCAGGAACCAGAAGTAAATACCGGTTTCCAGGAGAAAAAAAAAAACCTCATAAATTGTGGTCATGTGACTGTCGGACGCTGCAAACCGCTATAAATGCGGGGTGGTTTTCAGAACACCCAGAATGTGGTCATGTGCCCGTAGGCGAGGCAGTTGTCAGAATTTAGAAATTGGGTTGTAAGTCTCATTTTTGGGATCCGCCATAATTTTGAATGGTCGCTAAGCAGCCAGTCATAAGTCAAGGACCACCTTTATTTGCTGCATGGCTTCAAACAGAAACATGATTTAAATCCGTCCCAGCCCACCTTTTTTTTTTTAACGATCCCCCTTGTCATGAAACTTCCTTGACAAAATGTTGGGTTATTTCTTGCTTTCTGAATCATACTTTGTATTTTGCCAGTTTGGCTTTTTCTGACTTACTTTTTTTTTTTAAAAAATGCAAATGTTAAGTTCATTACAGGTAATCCTTCGTTTAGCGCCTATAATTGGCACTGGCAACACAATCATTAAATGAATTGGGTGGGGTGTCTACTTTTTATTGATTGATTTATATCCTGCCTTTTTTATTTTTATAAACAACTCAAACGTATATACATCCCCTTCCTCTTCCTATTTTCCCCACAACAAAGCCCGTGTGAGGTGGGCTGAGCTGAGAGAAAGGGACTGACCCAAAGTTTTTTGTGCGTAAGGCAGAACTAGAATTCCAGCCCCCAGGAAATTGGCCCAAAGCCACCTAGCCGATTTCATGCCTAAAGTGGGACTAGAACTCACAGTTGCCTGGTGATTGGCAAAAAGTCCCCTAGCTACCTTTCATGCCTAAGGCAGGACTTGAACTCCAAGTCATCTGGTTTCTAGCCTGGTGCCTTAACCCTGAGATCAAACTGACTAACGTTTCAGGTAAAATCAGAAGACTTTTAAAGTCTAGATATTTTTTTTTGTTTCAATAATCCTAACATTAATTTGCACTCATCTCTATTTTTTTCCTTCTTGAGGTTTTGCCGATTCTTGAGATTCTTTATCACGTTGAAGAAAGGAATTCACATCACGTTTATATGGCACTGATAATTTTGTTAATCCTTACTGAAGATGATGGCTTCAATCAATCCATTCATGAAATTGTAAGTTATGTATATTCAGAAGGCATGCATGATTAATTGAACACAAAATAATGAGCAAATGTCTTTCTTAATGAAGATGCATGGGTTGGATGTCTATTTTCTCAATACAGCTTTTTTTAATGGGTTCTCATCTACTTTTCTTCTTGCAGCTTTTATTCCAAATACTTTTCGGATGTACTCATTCCTTTTAAGTGGCATTAATTAAAAACATATTGAAAGTAAAGAATTTTTGCAAGCTTTTTGCCCTATGCTTCGTTGTGACTGCAGTTGCAGATGTAACGATAAAAAGTTGATTGTTCCACTAAAAAAATTAGTCATGACTAGCTCACGTTATTTTAATTTCAAAGGCAACTTTGCATCACTTATTAAATGCAAGACTGGTCTGTTATATTTCGATTGTTGAAAACTTTGTTGAGGTGGAATTAGAGACCACGATCCCCCTCTTTATTTTATTTTGAAATAAAACTGAAAAATGTAGAATGTTAAGAATACCATCCAAATAACAATATAAGAAAAATTGCTAAGGGGAAAAAGAACAGAAATTAATAGCACTAATCCAGAGCAATTTTTTAAAAAAAATCTTACTGATTATAAAACCTTTGGATTTATGGAATTAATATCATAGTCCTTATATAGAGAGCCGTGGTGGTGCAGTGGTTAGAATGCAGTGTTGCAGGCTAATTTTGCCGACTGTCAGGAGTTCGATCTTGATTGGCTCAAGGTTGACTCAGCCTTCCATCTTTCTGAAGTCGGTAAAATGAGGAGCCAGATTGTTGGGGGCAATAGGCTGACTCTGTAAACCGCTTAGAGAGGCCTGTAAAAGCACAATGAAGTGGTATATAAGTCTAAGGGCTATTGCTATATTCTAGACCTCTTGTTTCTGAAATATTTCCTGAAGCAGAGAAAACGAATAACCTCAGGGAGGCAAAAATGCAGTGAGAGTGACTTTCGACTTCCTGATGGCTTCCCTATTGAGTTTCGTTATAGGAAGCTGGCAGGGCGCGTTGCAGGGGTGGCTTCCAGCAGGCACTACTGCACACTTTGCTCATGCACGCTTTGTTTGTGCCCGTGCTGTGCGTGCTTGTGCAGTCCAATTAAAATTGTTCTGCGCATGTGCAGAACTGAAAAGATGGCGATGCCTATGGCAGCGCCCGGAGAACCAGTTTGGGGATGTGGCAGGCCTGGGTCGCTGCCAGTTCCAGCAACCCAGACCACCAAACCACTACCGGTTCGGCCAAACCGGTCCGAATCAGTAGGAACCCACCACTGGGGTGTCGGACATGATGATCACATGACCACAGTAGTGTAGCGGCACTGAAAGCTTCCACTACTTTGCCACATTTCAATCCTCTGGGAGTCACGAGGCCTGGATTTTGGATGAAATCTGTAAATTGGCCGATTTGAGGTTCATTGGTTCCAAAATGATTGCCCAATGATGCAGCATTTCGCCCGACTGAAGGTTACAAATAATCAAATGTGAGACATGAGAATTTATGGATGGAACAAATGAACAGACGAAAGGATTCTCTGTCAACATTTTGCTCTGTTTATTTTAAGCAGCTTTGGACAGGATCAGCTTTTGTCCTGTGCTCAAAAAGAGGAAAAATAAAAATAATCCATTATTCAGGCTGGATTTTCCATTCTCCCTTTTGTTGCACATCCTCCTATTTTGTTGCCTGTGAAGAGTCCTTGTTTTCTTTTGTGGCTTCACAACTCCCAAATTTATTGATTTGAGAGGTTAGATTAATTTTGGTAGGTACCATTTCACAAATCACTGATTATGGGTAATCCTCGACTTGCAACTACAATTGAGCCCAAAATTTCCATTCCTAAGCCAGACAGTCATGAAGTACGTTTTGCCCCATTTCATGCCCTTTCCTGTCACAGTTGGCAGGTGAATCGCTGCAATTGTTAAGTAAGTAACAGGTTGTTAAGGGAAGCTGGCTTCCCCATTGATTTTGCTTGTCAGAAGGTCCCAAAAGGTGATCACATGATCTCAGAACATTGTTCATCATCATAAGTACAGGCCAGTTGCATCCAAATCTGATCACATGACTGTTCTGACCCCCTCCTCCGTCCAGTAACGAATGCCGAGACAAGCTTAAATGAGAATGTCCTTTAATAACAAGTTCAGACTCTCAGTGGCTGAAAGCCAAGTAAACAAACAGATAAGGACCTTGGCATGAAGGCCGACAAACTTTGGCAGCAATGCAAACAAACTCTGGCAGCAATCCAGCCTGCCAAGTTTGTTTCTCTTTAGTCCAAGCGTTGACGTCTTCTGGTATTGGACCTGGGTACTTGAGAGACCGCCTGCTGCCAATTACCTCCACCAGAC